TTAATCAATCAAAAGACAGATTACAACTCAAATAAAGATTATTCCAAAAATAACAGTGACTCAGTTACCCCACGCTCTTACACCCCATGGCCTGGCCTTGCGCTGTCCCCACGGCACAGCATCCATCATCACTTATCTCTACAGCGCGCAGGATCTGCTGGGCTCCTCCCCATCACAGGCAGAGGGAGGTTGGAGGGGCTCTGCCAGCAGGACGCTGGGTCTGCGGCATCCAATCCCCTCCTTGACCCACTGCTGCCAAGAGCTCACGCTGGCCCGCTGTAGCTACAGGACGTGACCACAGACCACAGGCGGGTTCAGGAGCCCAGACACGGCACCGAGCCCGAGCCCCAGGCCCACCGAGTGACTGAGCTCACCCGACACAGAGGAAGGGTTCCAAAGGAAGAACAGGGCCTCTGCAGTCAAACGAGGCCAGCACCACAGGGCGGCCTATCCAGATGTTCCTCGGATGAAGGAGTAGGAACATATTCTGTGGCTGGGAAGACATACCAGAGAAGAAGACAGGGGCAGGGGACAACGAACACAGGTCTTCTTCTCCCCAAGGAGCTGGGGCACAGCCAAGTCAGAACACCAGAGGAATAGCACCCACTGACCGAATTTTTACTTCCAGAGGAGGAAACCATGAACCCTTCCATTGCCCCGAGCTGGTTACCAACAAACAAGTCCCCAGTTTCTCTGCTGCTCCCCTTCCTGAATCACCAACATGGGCTCCACATCACAGTGGGGGCAGAATGAAGATGAGGAGGAGGATGAAGAGGAGGAGGAAGAGGAAGCACATGGCTTCAAGACCTGCACCTGGTCCTGCTCCAGGTCCAAATGAAAGCTTTCAACATCTGCTCCAGCCCCATAGAAACTGAGCTAGGTTTGTAATCCATGGAGAAAATACGATGTTCACCAACACGTTTGTCAGATGAGAAACTTCCAAATCCTCCTAGATTTACAACAAAAGACAAGTGCCTCCGACAGCCTGAATCGAGCAATAACTCAGAACAAGTGTGACACATCAAACATCCCATTCATGTCTGCCCCTGACTCGAGTGGGCTCTAGGGCTGTCACAGTTCACACCCTGCCACATGGTCTCCAGCTGTTTTCCTTAGGAGTCTGAAAAACCGGAAGTCCCTGCCGGTGACAAAGCTCTAAATGGTCCCCTGGTCCTACTCACTGTGCTTTAGCAATGGAAGTCTGGTTTTCAGCTGGAGTCGTGGAGATCACTTAGAAAGACCACTCTGATTTCCTAGCCTTTTTTTGTATGCAGATCAGCCGGCCAGGCTGTGGTCAAGGGCTACGAATAAAAAGGTCACATGTACCTTCTGGGATAGACACAGCCTGCTTCCTGGCTATGATGAGAACATCTGTGCCTGGGTCACCATGTCTTAAGGCTACAGGATGACAGGGTCCCTGGCACCATAGGCCAGCAACCCTCATCCCCCAACATACACCCACCTTAGCCTCCCTCAGGCACAGGGAGAGAACTTATGCTTCAGGGCTATCTATCTCCCAGAGCTGAACCTACTCCTGCCTGACAGATCCCTAGTCCTAGACACGGGCACCTAAATGGGGCGCACTAAGTCTTCGAGCTTGTGCGCACCCCCTGAAACAAGGCCTGAAAGTACAGGCTGATGCAGAGGAGCCAGGAAGGGGGCAGGCAGGAAAAGCAAGAGTCCTACCATAGGTCACTGCTGTCACACAGCATTTGATGGAGTCCAGGCCTTCTATAATGTGGGAGATATACCAGTTGTCTGTCAAAAAGCTGTATAAGAAATAGCTCTGAAAAATCAAAATATCAGTGTTTGCAGCCTTTGCTAACACTCTCATCAAAGCTGGATGAGATGAATGTCCAACTAGAGCTGGCAGAGGTGGAAAAGAAGAAAGATCTTCAGAGTTCTCCAACTGCCACTCACAGTCCAAGTTGGAACGACCAGGGCTGTTCCACCAGAGAGATGTTTCACCAGTGAAAAGCCAGAGCCTGTGCCCAGTGTGGGGTCCAGTGCCAGGTTCCACCCAAGCCCACTGACTTCTTCAGTCCAAGGGACCCACCACTATGCAGACAGAGTGGAGTACAGACCACAGAGACCAGAGATTTTAGGCTTAGGGTCCGTTACACAATATCTTTGATTGTTACTTACAGGTAACCAGTCAGGCAAAATGACCAGAGGTGAACTGAGGTCTGGAAAAGGCATCTCCACAGCAGCCACAGGCCTGGCCTATAAAGTGCTGTAACTCTTCAGTCCTTAGAGTAATAACCAGACCCCAAGCCCTCCCAGAAAGAGTTGTCAGCACCCCATCTCTCCAGGGTCCATCTCAGATGTGGCACAGGGGACTCTTCTAGAAGTCACAGCCATGACCCGAACAGACCCGGGACAGGAAGGCCGTCCTGGGTGTGAAGGCCAGGCTGCAAGACAGCACTAGGGAACTCACCAGCTCCCAGGACAGGGACACAGGGATCAGTGGTCTCTGCTTCTGCTGCGGCAGCATCGCACCTGGGTGTGCTGGGCCACGTGGCTCAGCCGGTTTTTCTCCCCATGCTAGGACAAACCTGGGGCTTTGCCCAGACTGGGCAAGTGTTCTGCTGAGTGACATCCTCAGTCCAAGCTCCTAAGTCTAACAGATTGCCAAGTCCGGCCCTGAGAGAGAAGGCTGTACATCTCCAGCCTCAGAATCAGACTGAGAGGAAGAAAGCATGTGACCAACATGCCCAAGACAGCTTCCTCCACGAGGGTGCAGGTGTTTCCCATGAAAATGGCAGGGAAGGTGTGCATGGGTGCCTGAAACTGCTGATGTCCTCATTACCTACTTCCGAAGAATGGCACTGCCACTTTCTAGCTAATATGTGTGTGTGTGTGTGTGTGTGTGTGTGTGTGTGTGTGTTTATCGGTACCAGGGATCGAACTCATGACTGCTTGCTTGCAAGGCAGGCACTTATGCTGCTGAGCTAAATCCCCAGCTAATGTGTGTTCTGACACAGAGAGGTCTAACAGAGCAAAAACAGTTGAAGAATCTCACGATAAAGGCCCATATCTAGTTTAACTTTTAGTCCTCCTTCTGCCCATTAGGAAACAGCCGCTCCCATAGGAGCACCGCAAAGGAAGAGAGAAACAAGCATGAGGTGAGCCCAGCCCGCACATCCCCCAGCCCGTTAGAGTAGCACGCAGTGCTCAGCACCACGAGTCTTTATGAGCACTGGGAAACAAGCGGCTGCCACACAACACATTCCGAGCAGCAGCCTATGCACCACTGTGACGGCAGCATCTGGTCACGCAGCACGGAGGGCCATGCAAGAGACAGGTCCGTCCACAGAGAGTGCAGCAGCGGCGGCATCTGGGGAGGCAGCGTGGAGCACACGAGCTGCAGGCAGTCTGCCACCCCTGTGTGAGCGGGGAGAGACGAGGTGGAAATCGTTCTGCTTGTGTTCCCGACACACAAGAGCCTGCGTGCTTCATCTCGCTGCCTCACTGGCCCACGGTGGACAATTCTGGGTCCTTCTGACACCCAAGGGCCCTGTTTCAGTTCCTCCTATGCAGCCATGAACCCCAGGAACCCATGGGTTTCAGGGAGCAGCTCAGCCTCAGAGCGTAAGGGAGGCGCCCACAGAAGGGGCTGATGAGCCTCCCTGCAGCCGGTGGGGATTAACAATGAATAACCCAAGCCACTTCACTGCACTGTGCAAGGGCCCAACAAGAAGAGAAACCAGGTGGGAATGCCCTGGGAGAGGGTGAAATCTTTTGTAAAGATAAAAACTCTTAATCCTATGGAAGGCTGACAAGCTCAGCCCCCAGGCTCGGCATCTCGAATACTTTCTCAGAGCCAAGTTGCTTGGGGCAGAATTTTTGTTTTCAAGCTCAATATAAAGAAAGAACTTACTGATACTCAAGAGTGCTAAAGCAGTGTGTTTACACAGATGTGTGTGTGTGCCTGTGTGTATGCACGTGTGCGTAGTCACAAAACAGTCTGGACAGCAGGGTAAGACACTACCATTTTAGATTAGCATTATTATATTTCAAAAATGAAGAACAAAGGCAAAAATACCTCTACATGTGAATTCCATATCCAGTCTATTATATATCTATGTACCTACAAACTAGGAGTCCAATTCTATTTGAGGAATCTTACATTCTTTAAATCTTGGTTTACATTGAGAGAAGATTTTTTTTTATTTCCTCCCTCTATAACTCCAATTTTTACACTAAAATGTATTTATGGACACTGACAGATTGGGGAACTTACCTCTATAGAACAGAAGGAACAAGAAAGGAAACTTGCAATAAAAGTGAATTTCAAATATCCAAAGGGGATTACAGGGTGCCTGAAAAAATATACTAGGTGCGAACATACCAGAACAGTTTTAAAAATATAAAGCTCCAATGTATTTCAATTTACCCAATCTCTCAAATTTACAGTACTACTACCTCTGCAAAACACCCTCAAGTAAGCACTTAACACGGATTATAACAGCACAAAAGTAAAGTAATAACCTAAGCAATAGAGCCACCTGTGAAATGGTTTTTCATAATGTTCTCTTTTCAAGGACACTCGGAAAGGCCTGAGTGAAAGGAGGGGAGGGAAGGAGACAGCCACAGAACACATCTGCCAGCATGGTGCACAGGCCTGAATCCCAGCACTCGAGAGGCTGAGGCAGGAGGAGTGTCATGAGTTCAGGGCCAGCCTGGGCTACATAGTGAGTTCCAGGCCAGTCTGAGACCCTTTCTCAAAACAAACAAATTTCAAAAGCCAGAAATCAAAAAACAAAGAGAATTCTCCAGAGAATTCTGTTTCTCTTACTGCATGACACAGATCTCTGATCAAACAGTGTACCTAACTCTGTTTCCTACTCCGCAGTTCTGGAGGTCAGAAGCACACAAGCCAGGCTGGCAGGTTTGCTGAATGCAGTGTCCCGTGCCCCGCCCCATCCCTGACCTGCATTACAGGGCGGAAGCCACAGGCCAACTCCTCACTGCGCTGCTCCAGGCCTCCCTGCACTCACCCGTCCAGGAGGCTCATGGTCGTGGTGGTCACTTCGGCAAACAGGATTATTTTCCCGAGGCGTTGAGTCTGCAGATTCTGGCGATAGATCTCCAGGTTAAAATGCTCTGATGAGAAGGCCTCTGTGTCGGTGACCACAGGTACAGAAGATGGAGTGATTTCCACTTCCGGTGTGTACGATGAAACAAATTTAAGGGCGAGTTTGCTGGATTTTATTACTCCTTCAGGATCCACACGCCTCCCAAGCCACTGCATAAATGGGCCCCTGATTTCCTGTGTGAGAAGAAAGAAAAGAACAAAAAAGAAGAGAAGGGAGGAGAGGAGAGGAGAAGAGAGGAGAGGAGAGGAGAGGAGAGGAGAGGAGAAAAGAAACGAGAACAGGACTGTAATTTGGCATTTCCTTAGATGACTGACTGCAGCTGGACATACTCAATACATTGTATTTTACCAGTGGTAATAAAGATTCTGAGTGCTACAGTCTGAACCCTTCTCCCCTGAATTCATATGCTGGCAACTTAACCCCACATTTAGACGTTACTGGTATTTGGAGCTATGGCCTTTGGGAGGTGACAGGGTCTCAGGGCTGTCCTCTTGAGTGGATTTATCCATTAAGGGATCACAGGGTCATCAAGAGAGTGGGTAGGTGCCACAAGAGTGGGCCCACGTAAAAGGCTGTCTCTTGTGGGCACCGTCTCGGGACTGTGCGCTAAGCTCCACCAGCGGGCAAGCTACCACCAAGACTTCCATCCCGGACTTTCTATGGAACTGTAAGAAATCAGTGCCTTTTCTTTATAAATTACCCAGTCTCAAGTATTCAGGTACAGCAACAGAAAATAGACCAGGATACTAAGTTGGTGATAAACTTTCGAAATCAAGATCCAAAGAAATATGGTAGGCTCCTTAGAGTACATCCTAACCATGGCTCAGAAGTCCCCACTGGCTCAGAAGTTCATGAGTGACTCTTAGTACTCTGTGCATCTTGCACAATATTTGTGTCTTCAAACATCAGCCTCACAAGGAAATTTATTACCCTATCTGTGACGTGAACAAACAAGCAAAAGCCCTGAGTGGAAGAAGCTGCAGCGCCCAAGCACTAAGGTACTCGAGAGTCCAGCCTGTGCCTCTGGAAGACTGTTGCTTCCTCTCTGAAGTTAAGCTGAACCCCACCACTGACAAGGCAAGAATGAATTTCCACACAGAGAAAATAATGGAGAGCCCAGGGTTGCTTTCTGTTCCCCCAAATCCAAATCCAAGGATGACAAGGCAGAACCTAGAACAGACACTGCCAGACCCAAACAGGGACCGCTCTTCGGCCCCTAAACTGCAAGGGCGCCCCTCCCCTACTCCACTCCCCAGAGGCTCCTGGGGCCTGCATCTGGGGGTTCAAAGGACTCATCTTGCCAAAAGGACAGCTGGGCACAGATCCAGGCTCTCCAGGCATCCTCATGCAGACACCAGATCCTTCAAAAGAAAAACCTCTGGGGCACACATCCATCCCAGAGAAGGGGTGACATGCAAAAATGGGGGTGTTAGGATTAGAAGGGACTTGAATGACCCTCAGATACACAATTCCACTTCGAATGAACTATCTGGAAGCGGCATTTTGAGACAGCCAGGAAAGCTGAGTATGAGCGATATATATTAAATAACAAAAGGAATTACTGTCAGCCTTACTGTGAGAATACTGTGATGATACAGGAAAATGTGGACAACTGGGGACCAGCAGGACACAACTACTTTCTTCTTTCCTCCTCAAGCAAAGAGAAGTTTGTTTTAGCTCATGGTTTGTCACAGTTTTCGTCCAGAGTCTCAGCTGGCTCCACGGAAGGGTGGCATGGCAGAGGGGCACTGCCAAGGAGAACCCGCTCACAGCTGCTGGAACCAGGGCAAGACCAAGGAATAAGAGACAGGGACAGAGTTGGCAGGCCACACCCCTGTGCCATGCTCCCTCCAGCCAGGCTCCACCCCCAGCACCACAGGTAGCTCTAAACTCATCCCCTGGAGCAACCCACACTCCAAGGGCCAGTCTCCCTGAAGCCCCACTAGGAGCACTGTGGGCTCTGAAGAGATGCACAGCTGTAATGCATAACCAGAACACCTCCTATGCCCCGCCTGGCAGCCAGCATTTCAGGGCATCAACATACAACCTCTGCCAGGAACACAGCCACGCTTGCTGCTCTTCACAGCCAAGGATGCCGCTGCCAAGGTGGACATCAGACCCGCCCCACCCCTACCAGGCAACACATCCCTGTCCTGAGGGTCCTACCTGTCCCTCACGGCGCTGCGTCAGTAAATGTCCCTCTGCACTTTCCTGTCCTCATTAAATTCTTCTACCACCCACATCACAGCCACCACACACAGCAGTGGCGGCAAACAGCCTTCATTCTTAGATATGTGAACACCACCATATCTGTACTTTGCCTCCAAAACAGATGATGTAAACAGGCTGCATGTTAATAACTGTGAAGTAGACAGGACAGGTATCTGTTACACTATTTTTCTATTCTCTGTATTTAGAAATGGGTATGATAGAGCTAAAAAAAATTAAAATAAACTTAAACTACTATAAAAATAATAAACTGGCTCATACTAGCAGCCCACCTGTCTGGTCACCCATTCCATACACACAGCTGGGTGTCTGCCACCTGGCACCTGCCTATCACCATGAGGATAGGGCACTGAACAGAGTCCAAAGTCCCTGCCCTAAGCGAGCTGTGTCTCTAGTGTGAACCACACGGCAGAAACATGAACAAGCAAAACGTGCAGAATGGCAGGCAGTGCAGGAACGAAGGGAAACAAACAATTGAGAGAGGACAGAGAGGCGCAGGCAGACAGCCAGGTCCTACTGAGCAGGTGACGGACGCATGAGCAAAGGCAGGAGTCACGCGATTTACACGCAGGCTCAGTGTGTACAACATCCCACACCCCACAGCCACCTGACAACTCACTTCTCGAACATAGCCCCAACACTATGTGAGGGCAACTATTCTCTACACAGAGGGGCGCCAGGAGGAACAGGCCTGGCGGTAACAGCGATGGACAGAGGGCAGGGGGTCATCTTGGGAGATCGCGTAAAGCCACGGGGAAGATGGGCTGACAGTTGGGAGCAGCGAGGACTCCCTGAAGGAGACCTGCTCCATCCACGGTAGGGTCTCCCCTCTGACTGCTGTGTCACAATCCCTGGACCAGTGTGACAGCAGACCATGAAGGTCAGTGTCCAGTCGGCCTGAGAAAAGTGTGCAGAACAATCATATTCGGGGTGTTATGAGAAATGGGGCCTCAAAATTGAGCCCAAGATTTCAGGCCTAGCGCCCGGGAAAGACAGAGTGACTGGAGGAAATGCAGTGGAAGGCAAGAGTGGTCAACAGACATCACTGGTCAGCTCTGGGTTCACTGAGAGTAATTCATATCAGGATCCAGTGGACGTGCCGGGAGGATAGGACATGCAGGCCTCAGGTCAAGGAGAGGGCCGCACCAAGGGTTTAAATATGGGGCTCCCTGGACTATCCAGGATCACCTCAGGCAGGGTTGGGGGAAAGGATGGGATGAATGAGGGAGATCCACAGAGAAGATGTGGATGCCAAGCCGTGGCACCTATTTCCCAGGGGTCTGGAACAAGGACCACAAATGTTGAAAGGGGCTGAAATGACATTTCATTTTGGAGGTGCAAATCCAATATCATGTAACTACTGCACAGGTGACACGCGCTAGAAAGATTCACTCCAGCTGCTCAAACGTACACCGCCCCCAGGCAGTGTGGGCCACGGGGACACGCCACGTGCAATCATCACTTCTCATCTGCACGCACCTTGGAAGCCAGATTCTCGGTGAAGCCATCTCATTGTTATCTAAAGCAGGGCTCCCAATCCTTCTTTTTCTTAAAGCAATACTTAGCAATGTGCAAATCAGAATTCACAAAAACAAAGAACACAAATGTTTCTGACATCCCTTTCACACAAACTCTCAGGGTTTACTCAGAAGAAAGGACATCTAGAAGAGATCACAGGAAACCAGGGACCTCCTATGAAACAAAACTGCAAACCACCTCTAATCGCTTAGTTATTTATAGTCACTGTGGCCAAAGGGAATCTTAAGTCATAGGAGAGCACTGACTACACAGGGGAAGCAGTGGACTCCCCTAAACCTCCCCCTGATCGCCTGGTTACCAGCAGTGTTGCTAACCACAACTGGCCACCTGTCCGATGCCAATCTGGCTGGTGTGTCCTCTCCAATGCACTTAAGTGACAAGGGTGACCGAGAGCTACAGAGACAGCTGCCAGTAACACACGTAGGGTACGAGGGCTTGAGGGTCCCCCAAGTTCGTATGTTGGAAGCTTCACCATCAATGCAACAGTGTCAAAGGGCAGGACCTTTAGGAGCTGATCAGGCCACAAGAGCTCTGGCCTGTTCGAGGATTAATACGCTGATTTCAGCAGAGAGCACTTCATGCCCTACTGCTGCGTCAGCCCCCCAGTTTGGTATTCTCTTACAGCAACATAACATTAACTAAGAGATGGGGGAAAAGCAGCAGTATGAGATTGTGAGCTGAATTTACCAGTACCATTAAGGCAGTATGGACATGCTGTTGAAGAAAAATGTTTTGTATCATACATTATCGAGGCAAATGGGTTGTTAGTATATAGGTATATTACCCACCCCCAACCTCCAAATCCACCTAATTCTTTGACCTCAACCATCAGAGCATGGCTAAAATCTCACTTTAGAAAAGAGGTCTTTGACCCATGACCCCTCACAATCTAGGTCTTGAGATTATCTCTTATTTTATACTAGTTATCACTATTGTAATTACCAAATTTGTATAACCACTTAATCAACGTCCCACTGCTTGGCTTGGTTACTTTTCTCATTGCTGTGACAAAATACCCACAGCCAAAGCAAAATGAGGAAAGGTTTATTTAGCTCAGTTTGTAGAGGTTTCAGTGAGTAGGCACCTGGTTCCAAGGCAGGGCAGCGTCACAAGGGACAAACAGTCCAGGGCATAGCAAGCAGAAGGCAATGAGTGACAAGTGGCAAACCTCCCTTTCCCTTTCATCCCAGTTAGGATGCAAGCTACTTGGGTGGAGCCACCCACACACAGGGTGGATCCTCCATTATCCACTCCAGAACTATGCTAAACCAATTATGGTCTAATCCAGTACCACACACCTTTAATCCCAGTATCTTAACCTGGATCAGTGATGGCAAACCTTTTAGAGATGAGTGCCTAAAATGCAACCCGAAGCCCACTGATTTATCACTAAGTATCAACACTT